GAGTCAGTAGAGAGGCTCTGCAGGCAGACAAGCCAGTGCACAAAAGCTACCCACATATAGCTGTGCCACCAAGGCCAGCAAGCTTCCATAAATCCTTCATGCTGAAAAGAAATGTACCATACACAAAACAAACAGGGTGCAGAGGGTGAAGTGCTAGTTGGCACTGTCAGTATTGAGCATGACAAACCACATCATGTCCTGACTACAGGAAAAATAAAAAAATAATCTTCCCATATCAGTCCTGCCAGCCTGTAACAGCACAACCTGAGGACATGCACAGGTTTCTTACTTATTGCCTCCAAATACTGCAGGAAGAAGGGGTCAGAAGATGTAAATATAAGTGATCTGGGTTTTGTGAAGGTGCTGCAGGGAAGCAACTGATGGACAATCTGCTCTACGTGACAGCAGTTATACTGGTACCTGCAGAAAGATGCTTGCCAGGTCATCTTCCGGGCCCAGAACCCGAACCTGACTTAAGGCTCGTATTCGGCTCTGGTTTTGAGAGTTCTCAGGACTAGATTTTGATCTTGCCATCTCAGCACTGTCTGCAAGGAGAATAAAAAAAAACAACAAAATCAACAACAAAAAGTGCTGTTACAGCAAAGGGCATCTGGAGCACCACAATGCATTGTCTTCAGCTTAACAGGCTTCAACTTATGAGAAATTAAGTAGCTTTCCTTTCAAAGGAAAACAAGACCTACTTTTCTATTTCCCTCAGAACAAGTCATTGTAGCAAAGTCCACGAACGCAAGAATTTCTCCCTCAGCCAGGAGTAAAGCAGCTTGGCAAGGGCTGGCATTTAACTGCAGCTTGTGGATGTATCACTGCACAACCAATTTGAAAAACAGTATTTCCTGGTCCTTAAAAGCAGAGGAAGGAAGTTCAGGAAAGGACTCTGACATTCAGAAGTTCGGGCCATGCTATTCAGTACCTCGTCGGGCTGGTAGAGAGGCAGTGAGCAGGGAGTGGAAAGTCTGGCCTCCTGTTGCTCCTCTCTCATGCTGAACCTCCACAAGATGAGCCATGTAGTTTGAAAAAAATAAAATAAAATAAAATAAAATAAAGGAGGGGCAAAATATGAGTACCTCATCTCCTTCTCTTGAATAAAAGCAGGACAAGACAGACTGCTGTTTGCACAGCTCCCACTGTGGAGGGACTTATCCTGAAAGACTGTAAACATGATGCAAGCACCCCTTGTGCCTGTTACAGTTAGCCTGAAAAATTATTTCTGGACTCCACGCCAGTCCAACCCAGAAAACCTTCCTCATCTTTGGGAAACGCAACCAAGACCCATCCAAACAAGCCCTGGGGAGGTGACTACAGAGACTGACAGGTTGTCAAAGCAGCCTGGGCACAGAGCTCACAACTGTTTTGGACTTCTCCAAAGAAGTCACAAAACTGCTCAAAAAAAAGAGTAAAATGCCTAGTTAATATAGTGCAGAGCTCTTACTCTTGTCCATGATGTTCTGCTCCAGTGTCTGCGGGTCATGGGACACTGCCTGATCCAGGTACTGCAGGAGTTTGCTCATGCTGGAGACAGGGATTCCAAAGGACTGAACAAAGAGAAGCAGCTGCTGCGGCTCCAGGTCCTGCAAGGCTGAAACACAAGAACACCGGATCCTCACACCTCTGAATCGCTTACAGAAGATCCTCATTACCTGATCTTGGTGCTTTTGACTGGACAAACAGTGACACATTAATGACAGGGCATTAAAGAGAGCCTAAAGGCAGAAGTCTGACAGTTGCTTACTATGTTTTCTTTGCTCTGCAAATTGTTGCTTTCTTATTGCATTTTCCGGTTAATTCACTCACTGGTTAATTTAATCTTCCGTTTAATTTGATCAAAACCTCAGGAACCAAATCATTTGTATTAAAAATAACTTCTGCTCTATCTGTTGATGGCTGCAGGCAGGAATTATTGAATAATTCAATCACAGGCTATAGAGAGCTGTCATTTAATTAGTAAGAATGGGACAAAAGCTATGAATACTAAGGAAAAGAGCATTTATAAGCTAGGCTAGTAGAAGTAACTACAGTTATAGGCACATCCTTCAGACACTGTTCTCCATGTTGCAAGAGTACCACGCACTACGAAAATGTGCTGTGTCTGTTGTCTGGTAATTGCGTAACTTAACTCAATCTGAATAGACATAACAGGGATAATTCATGGTCACCCACTTCCTTTAAAACACAAAGGAAGTGAAACAGTTGTCAGACCCTCTGCCCAACTTCAGAAGTAACAACTGCTGCCTAGTAAAGCTTGCAAAATCCAGCACTCGAATCAGCATGGAACAACCTGCCTCCAGTAGTGCAGTAAGGTACTGTACCTAGGGCACTGACATCCTCTTCAGTCTCAGCTTGCACTGAATGGAGCTTTACATGTTGCTAGAATTAACCTTTGGGCACTGATGGTTCGGTTGCAACAATTCTCAAATTCTGTTCACCGACACTTAGTTCTGCACACTGTGGTCAAACAAAGAGTCATCCTGGGCCATCCCATAATTTCCTGTGCCAGAATCCAGCTCATATTCTGTATGGGTGTTTGATGGCCCTAAGGGACACGACAATCTACTGTGTTCAGACTGCAGCTGCCACGAAATCTGCACATACATACTTCTTTTAAACCGCCCTGCAAGCAAGCTCCCTGCTCAGCTCCAGGGTGTGCAGTGACTGACATCCAGCAAAGACATCCACGTGGGACGGCGCACACCTGGAGGGTTTGCGCAGTGAAGTTCATCTCTTTACTTTGTAAGGGGCTGCAACAGCAGCAAACACCCCCAGGCTCACCTGCATCCACAAGACGTGGCACTTCGGAGCGGATCATACGCAGCTTTAGCCAGTCGGGGAGCAGCAGAGCCTCCTCTGAGGTGTCGACCAGAAAAGCAGTAGGCAGAGGCTTTTTCTCCGGGAACCATATATCCAATAAGGTGTAAAAATCACCATCCCCTGCTTAAGAGTGAATACAAAAATTATCTTCTATGTTTATAAGCACCTAGAACCCTTCTCTTTTGCAAGTCAATAAATGAGAAGCCTTTCTTGCTTGAATTCAGTCTAGAAACAACATGGCAATAAATAAGCTATCAACTGGAAATGTGAACTACATATCCGATTGCTCAGTTCTCACACTACAATAAGCCTCTGAGCCCTCCTTGTTTAGAAGGGAGGGAGACACCATCATTCCATGCTGTCTACAGAAGGCAATAAATAAGCATGCAATTCCTTTACTCAGTGCAGTAATATTCTGATGGTTTCTAGAGCCACAAACATGAACTGCAAGGGACAAGTCCATGTGCAGGAGAATTAACATCATCCTCACCTGTTAGGAGGGAGCAGATAAAGCGAAGGCTCCCTCTTTAGTCCAAAACCTATTGAATCAACCTGAGCACATTTCACTAACCTTGAGGTGGCCCTAGCGTCAGAAGAATAACCATGGCATGAACCACAAGGATGTGCATGGTGGCCGTTTCCCCACTAGTCCAACGAAGGAACACCTGATCCTGGGACTCCGACTGGAAAAGTGACAGAAAAGGGTGTAGAAAGAAAGAAAGAAAGAAAGATGAAGTTATTGAGGCAGGTATTCAAGAGAACATAAGAACAGACAAACTGGGCCGGACCAAATGTCTAGCTTAGTATGTCCAACAGCAGCCACAGAAGATGCCTCAGAAAGAGTAAGAAAATGCTTTTTATGCATGTGTGTGCATACATGTGTGTGTGAATATTTACTATGCATGTATGTTTTATACACACAAATGCACACCCCAGTTGGCTCTAATATCCTAACCACCAACTATTTTCAGCTTAGGAAATTTCCGAACCAGATTTTTTTTTTTTAATAGATTTAGTAATCCACAATAGATCTCTTGTGAACTTGCCCAGTTTCTTTGACCTACTTCAGAAGAAAATAAGGAAGGCACTCACCCAGCTGTACACCTCTTCACCCTCCTTACTCTGCCGCATACGCTTGATGTAGCGAGAAAAGATGGAGAGCAGAGCAACAAGCACTGCATCTGACTCGGCACAGTACGAAAGCTTGGAGAAGAGGTGAGACATGATGGTGGAGCGCTCCACTATGAGCCGGGCCACATACTGCAAGGGAAAAAAAAGATCCACAAGTTTTCCATTGAGCAACACAGAAAGGGCCCCCGGCTGCACTGTGCCATGCCCTCCCATCTGTCATCTGCCTAGTCAGCCCCACTCTGCAGATCAACCCATAGGTTTCAAGAGTAGAACACTGGGGAAAGAGGCCACTGCTGTATGTGCATTTCTTTTTCTTTTTTTTTATTAAGGATTCCAGTTTTGGTTACCGGAGATGGCACATCCCATCACTAAGGCTTCTGACTTCCCATTGTCTCCCCAGACACATTTGGCTGCAGATTTAACATGTGCCCATTTAAGTAACACTACCAGATGGTGACATTTCCTTCAAACCACTATTTACTTTTGCATTCCCCATACCATTTGGGACTGGCTGTTCTATCCCTCAGCTAGTGGTCATTGCTCTCTAGCTTTCTGCATGAAAGATACGAAATCAAAGACACACGACCTTCCAACGCACACAAAACTATTGAATCTCACCCAGTTAGCATGGCAAGTCACATAACTACAAGTGTCCTGGGCAAAGCGTCCAGCTTGCCAAGTCTCCCCCATGCAATCCTAGCTGCTCTCTCACCAGAGCCAGGTCATTGTGCTGTCCCTGCTCCTCCACAGGGGCGTGCTGAGAGAGGTACACCAGGTAAGCACTGATGGTCTGGGGATCTGTCTCCATGTGGATGGCCTGGAACGAGAATTCTTCTCATTAGAAACCAAAAGGTAATAAAAACAAGAAACAATTTAAGGAATATTATTTCTTTGCAAGCACAACCCACAAGATACATGGATTTATATCACGCCCATGGTTTGCTCAGATTTGTTTTAACACAAGTAGGACAAAGAATAACTTGCTCCAAGCTTGTCACTCATTCCTTTCAGCTACTATCATACCTGTTGCAAGGCAAGAGCTGTTGTTGCTCTAACGCTGTCAAATAGTGGCAGCCTTGGGAGGTCTCTTAGCAGCCACTGATATCCCTGGAGCAGTTCTGAATCACCAGAATCTTCTTCCATGGGATGATCTTTCTCCTCTCCATCACGCAATCCCCCTTCTGACAGTACCAAGGACAGGCCCTGCATAAAGCAAATGGACAGACTTGAGGCACATGAAGCCACGGCTAGATCTCTAGTTTTGTATCACTAAAAAAGAAACAAGTTTCAAATAGCAGGGAGCAATTAACATGAAATGCAAGCAGCCTACAGCAGGTTTCAGACCACATCATACATCTACTTGACAGTCACCCTATTTAGAGTTTGCCTTGTATAAACATAGTCCATTTGGACTCTATACATTTCTACTTGCCTTAACCATGCTCTGGAGGACCAGGCATTTACTCATTTACATCCTACAGAAAATCTGGTGCCTGCTACTTCATGCAGTATGTGATCTGCTATGACTATGCTTGAACTTCACAGTAGACATAGCAAAATCCAGTTCCATCTTAAAAAGTACAGTTGGCTGCCGAACAAAGGAAGCCTTTGAACAGGATGCAGCAGAAATGCATCAGATGGGTCTGGAAATAAAGACAAGTCACTGCAGAAGGATGATGCTAACAGTTTCACTGCACTGGCTCTGAACTTGCAACAGTGCAGGAGTTAGCCTCAGCTATTGGTAAGTCCTGGTCAGGGGCTGGTCAGAAGTTCTTTATTTTTCTTACCTTCATGGCCAGGACCCGTGAAGCCACCTGGGAGGAACTCAGGCGGCGTAGGAAATAATCAAGCACCTCACAGGTTGTCTGCTCATCTGCTTTGGGACCCAAGAGCAAATCTTGCAAACGTCCAAGCAACTGCCTTTGCTTCTGCTGTCTCTGTGGAGTAAGAAATTGGCCATTGCAGTGAAATCAAATGAGACCTAGGCTGCGCAGAAAGCAGACAAGGGAACTGACCACAAGCGACCACTCACCTGACGTTTCTTGGCACGTTGCTCTTTACTTTCACCCTCATCCTCCTCTTCTCCTGAGGTTGGCTCATCAGCAGCATCATGAAGCAGGAACTCACAGAGACACTGCACAGGCAGGACATCCAGTGAGCCCTCACTGGACTGAACCAGGTCTGCCAGCCATGGCATTGACTGTGAGGAAGCCTAGGAAACAGGAGAACAATGCAGGATCAGCAAAACCTAGATGCAGCACATGGATCATTTAATTCCTGAGCAGTAAGTCACGTTTCCTTGCATCTTATGCAGTTCCCTTCTGTCCCTGTTCTGTTCAAGTTTCAGAAACTAGAACTCTGATCCGACCTTATCCAGGCCATCAAGGGAACCCACCTGTCTTTGAATGATGTTGAGAAGAAAATCAGGATGACGACTGCGACACAGGAGGTGGCCCAAGCGCAAGGACTGGTTCAGGCTTTTCACCTGCTCAAGGACATGAGGGGGAGGTCTGCGTGGGGGGCCCCTACCAAGGGAACAAGAAATTATCCACAGTTAGATACACCTTTGCTCTCATGTTAGTGAGGATCATCAGTGCAAAGGGGCCATATGCAGAAGACAAGAAGCAAACACAATGCATCCATCTAGCAGATCTCACGCTCTTCTCCCCTACATCAATCGTCCTACCAGCAGTACAGTCTCCTGATTAGGATTAACTGGGATTTCTTGCTGGAAACAGACCACAGAAGGCTACTTACTGAGGATCCAGACTTGTCAGCTGGGACAGCAGAAGGCTGCTGCTCTCTGTAATTGTTTGTTTTGTGGATGCAGCAGCCAGATGACCTTCAAATGCAAGAATCTCCTGCTTTTCCCTCTGGGAGATTTGAAGCTCACGGTTAATCATCTCTGTGCACTTCTCCTCATCCGTCAAGGTACATGGAGGATAGGAATAATTACTAAGAAAATAAATCAAGAATTATTATCTTGCTCTAACCAAAATTCAGACTGAACATTCCCACAACCTCAGCTCCTTAGGCAGCAAGGGAAAAACAGGACAGCTTCCCAACAGGGACAAGGAGACAGAGCCCTTCACAACAAGTAACATCACATCGTCAGCCCTTGCTCCCTCAGATCACTACTTCTTTGCTCGTAATATTTCTGTTGGGGGAAATACTTCCTTTTACTCTAACTTCCAGCCAGCTCATTTCACAACAGTCCCAAAAGAAAGGTAGGAGGCAGCTGGCAACAGCTTCATTCAGAAATGGGTGTTTAGTGGTCCATTTGATTTATGGGGGAATTTAAATATACTAACTTGGTCATGACCATTTCCATGAGCATCTTTAGAGAGGGGTAGTCTTCCCACGCAGCCAGCCCTGCAGCAAGAGAAGGGCAGTCATGGATTCAGGAAAGTCATGATACTTACATAGATTCTAACACACTCCAGTGTGGGGAGATACAGTAAGTTCACTTTGGAGCAGCCCATCACATTTAAACCATTTACCATTTAAATGCTCAAAATATTATGCTATATATTTCTGCTCACAAAGTGATTCAGTATCACAGCATAGCTAAGAAATCGCAGTATCTTGCCCTCTTAGCACATGCCTAGAACACAGACAACCAGGTTTCAGTAAACTGCACCCTGATCAATTTTTGTAGCAGAACTGATGTCCCGAGAAGCGTCTGCCCTTACCAATGTTTTCAGGATTAAATGCAGCCACTACGAGGAGGAGGGGCCAGGCTTTCCAGTAGAGGGTAGAAATGGCTAAATTTGGAGGCTGGTACCTGCAAAAGCCATCAAGAAAAACAAAGTGGTTGGATTTAGTTACTTGTGCCCCTTTCAACACTGTTTTTCTCTTAATCATTCACTATGTTGATTCAGACACACTGGTTTAGTGGCCTTCAAGAAAGAATTCTTCTCAGGAGCAACAGCAGGGTTCAGCTGGAATTTTATAGAATAGAATCATCAGAGTTCTTGCACAGGAATATCTACCTCATGACTCAGGTCTGATTTGCCCTGGAGAAATTCCCACTGGAACATGACAATGAAAAGGTGTCCTCATGACATGGTTATTAAAAATTACAGAGAAAAGCATTTTAAAATCTGTGGGTTAGTATTGTTACTCACAAGGTGAAAATGAGCTAGATCATACTGATGTTGTCTATGTGATAAGCCTTACCCTGGGGGTAGCTGGATATTCTCTGGATGGTGATAAGTGCACAGATTTAAGACAGCATCGATCAGCTGGATTCTCTCTACCCTCAGGACTTCGACATCTGCAGGAATAAGGAAGTTGAAACAAGTTATTGACCTGCCTACCTACCTGAAATCCTTCTCGAAAAATAACAAAGTATATTAAAAATTCAACTTCAAGCAACTACATTATTGTGGGTTTGTTCTCATGATACTACAGGATCAAAAGACAATAACATCTATAAAAAAGCAACACACATGCACACAAAAAAAAGTAGTAGCAAGGCAGGATGTAAGGATATATTGAGCTTTTCATCTGCTAATTGCATTAAATTCTTTATAGGAGCAGGTTTTGTTTTCCTTTTCCAAATGTACCGAATGTGACATTTGCATCTTTTTCAGTGTGCAGATTCACTGCTTATCTGAAAGAGTATCTGCTCAGACCTTCCTTCCTTCAGTTCAGAGGAACTAAAGGTTTCAAAAGTGACAAACCAACCTAGCTCTGAGCCAAATGCAGGATTAAAATATGCCTACAGTAATACAAAGACACACTAGGGTGCAAAGAGGCAAAAAGCAGGTATGTGGTCAGAAAGATCTACCTATGGCTAGAGTTCCGTGCACACTTACCATCTGCTTGCACAGCTGCAGCCCGCTTCACCAAGTGGTCAGCGAGCTCCATGGCATCCGCAGGGCCAAGGGGAAGGTCCCGTGACAAACCGATGACAAGGATCCGCATCAGTGTGTCTTCAAGAATGGGCACCTCGGAGCAGAGGCGAAGGAAGAAGCTGCATGAGACATAAAGCATCAGTTATGCTTTTATGGACTGCAAAAACTCTCCATAGACCCCAGAGCTCATCTGAGTAGAAAATAAGCCACAGTGCAGCTTTCAACCACCACTTCCTCAGTCTTCAGCTGTAACTACAAATACCTCTAACAAGTCTTTTTTCCAAGAATATTGCCTGTATTGCCTTGTACAAATGCAATTCAGACCTGCTTGATTGAGCCTAAGCCCCGTAATGTTAGCCCAGTAGAAACTATCCAGTGCAGGGCTGCCATTCTCACATTACAGCATCAAGATAAAGAAGAGCTTGGCACAGAGAACAAGAGTCAGTGAAGAGGAATAGATGTAGGCTGGAGCAACATGCTCTAATTTTAAGGCAGCACAACAAACAGTGGAAGTCTAAGAACAGTTCCAAGAGCTCCAACACAGAGATATAGAAGCAGCATCAGAAAACACTGATTTGCCCTGCCTCTGGCTGCAGCAGCTCTGCCCAGGCAATCAGCTGTAGGTGGTGGTACACACTCACTTGCGATCACTCTCAGGGGGCCAGTTGTCCCATTTGTAGTAGGTCTCTGGCTGTTCAGTAAAGAGCACCTTGTGGAGGCTGTAGAGACATGAAAAGACAATGTTGGCTGTGTGAGCTGAGGGAACAAACCCTCAAACCAATGCGGGGACCACAGAAACCACGTATTTGGTCAGATAACTGAAAACTCCCCACTGAACTAACAGGGTGGACACAGGTAATATGTATCAGAAGCATTTTGCATTATGTTTTTCTGGTAACATGATACATTGGGCAGGGACTCCTATGGGTGAAACAGTCCCAGACTGAACCCTGCTAAAACACTGTTCCTGCTACCTGCCTAATAGGGGGAAAGGAGATTCAGCTACCCCTACTCTCATACCAGTGCACATAGTCCTTTGGAGCAAGCTTGCTGATAGATGGAACAACCGTATGAAGCCACCAAACGGCATCTCGTTGGATTGCAGCAATTTGATTCTGGAAAGAGCGCAGTACTTCCAGGTCTGAAAGACAGATTACAAACGTGTGGCAGAGCCTTGCTGGGGCCAGGGCAGGAGAAGGTGGCTGTGTCACGTTCGCACTTCTAGAGGGGAGGTGTAAACCAGGCAGTCTCCCAGCCCTAAACATACATGTATACTTGGCTTAATGGCACACACTGGAAAAGTGTAACAAAACCCCAAGATATAGTACAGAAAAGTCATGGTTGTGAGAAGACAACATTTAGATAGTCTCTTCAACACTACCCCAATAGCCTGCTCTCTCAGCATTAGGTATTTATGTAGTTCTTGCACCTAACCCTTCAGATATGACCTAGTTTGAGGTCCTCCATATACAGTCCTTCTGAGGCTCTTACCTACTGCTTACACAGACATGAAAAGCACCTGTATTTTTACCCAGCCATGCAAAAGCCATGTCTTGCAGAGGGGCAGCTTACACACCTTCCTAATCACATCTACAAAATCCCCCAATCTTTGCACTACCAGGTGATGTCTACCTAACCTGTCCACTTTTAAAGGGGATCCAAGTTGCTTTGCTTACTCTTTTTCTCTCCTTTGTCCCAAGCAATTCCAGCTTCCTTCACTTGGGCTGTGATACCAAGCATCATGGAGACAGCAAGTAGATCAGTAATGTGGATGACAAACCGCTCCTGAAGAGAAGTCAGTAGAGTCAGTAATACTGCAAGTTGCCTTGTGGAAAAAGCGTTCATCAAAAATAACAACTGTGGCTGGTTGGAAAATAGACATTTTAGAGCGTGACTATGAAATACAGGAAAAATACTGAGCCATTCAGATAACAACAGAGACATATGAGAAAAAAAAAAAAAAAAAAAAAAAAAAAAAAAAAAAGGATGCCCCAAAAATTAGATAAAGAAAATCCCAGCACACCTCTACTACATCTGGCAGCACATCAGTCAAAATAAGCGGTACCTTGAACTCCATTTCTGAATACTGGGCCTCCTTCCGTTCCTGCATAAGACCCAGGCAGAAGGCCTGGAAGTTGATCTCGTGCTTCGTCTGCTTGATGATCTCCCGCAGCAGCGCCCGCGAGGCCCGCAGGTAATCGTCTTTAGTAGTTAAAAGATCCTGGAACACCATGGCCAGGTACTGAGGCCAGAAAGAAAGTTTTCAGTGTATTGTAATATATCAGTATGCACAGAATAAAAGAAAACAAAAAAAAATAAGGAAACAGTGCCAGCAATATTTTTCTCCTTCAGGTCCGCATTAAACAAACATCACTGGGGAGCTATAACAGATTAAAACTTCATTCTTAAAACTTCACTATCACAGGTCAGTTACCATAAATGTGAGAGTTAAGAATAATACGCACGCATTTTCTACCTAGTGCAGCAATGTAATTTTCAAAATAATAGCATACAGTACGCCTTTTTATGGAGAATATATTTCATTTGCACCTCAGTTCAACTAGATCTCTAAACAATAATCTGCAAGACCTTCCACCTACCTTTGGAGCTTGCTCTGAGCTATGCTGCAGCACAGTGTATAGGATCTGCATGTTGTTGGGATTTCTTGCATTTGATAGTTCGTTAAAGATCACAAACTTAATTGTAGTGCCCAGGTTATCCCTGTGTGCATTCAGTAGCTCTCTGAAAGGGAACATCAGAAGTATCAAAGCTTGAGGTTTACTTGCAGTAAAACCCTTTGTAGAGGCACCAAGACCATCAAGGATCCTGTCACAGGGCTGGTCGCTCTCTTACCTCACACACAGCATATAGTGGTTGAGAAGGACTTTAGGTTTGAGACGAATTTTGATGAGGTTGGAGATAACTTCCATGTCCTCCGAGCTGTGAGTGTTGCAGTTCATACACACTGACATCAGTAGGTCCTGAGCTGGCTTGGTCAACTGCAAGGAAAGAAAGGAAAGATTCTAGAGCCACTGACAATCACATGTAGGAAGTGTAGTTGGGGGTATGTCCACATGGCCCTCCTGGCTGGGCTCCAGACCAAGGCCAGCAGAGGCATGGCCCAACAGCTGCTATCTTTACCTTTGGATTCTGCAGCCACATCTCCAGCCGTTGCACAGCCATTTGTCGAACCTCTTTGTAGCCACAGGTCGCTGTCAGCAGACGAAGGAGATTCCTGGAGACATTATCCATCGGCTGGCGCCGGTTGAGCTGGTCCCGCAGCATGTCTAGGACATACTCCTCCACACTCTCTGCAAGGTCCTCATACCTAGGCCACACAAATCACATTTTGTTCACTTCTGCACAAGGCCTGGCCATACTTCACCGTACCGAGAGATCAGTATCCCCTCTCGTTTGTGGCACAGCTACAAAACAAAACAGTGTTTCCTATTCTTATTTCCAAGATAGAGTTTCAGCTGGTGCTCAACATCCTCTAGACTCCCAGGACACCTAGTGCAGAGAAGCTGCCAGCTGCAGCACTGTGACAGAGAACTACTGATCGGGGGGGAGCACAGACCTGATCCGCCCCGGGGCTAGGTCAGGAGAGAGCACTGTACCTGGGCATGAGCTGGCCCTCCTGCTCTGGGCTCATTTTTTCCTCTGCAATCAGCAGTTCACTCTGGCTGTCCTCCTCCTCCGTCATGGAGGGATGAGGGCTGCTCCCTGCAACAGAGCAACACGCAGCACTTCATGAGACTGCTCCCTTGCCTACAGATTCCTTGCTTCTGCTCTGAAGTCTTCAGCTTCTTTCAAGGATCTCTTCAGTAACACTGGAGACTACAACTTGTTACTTCTTCACATTGTATCACATACAGGCACAATTCTTCAAATCCCTTTCACTGATCTCTTAAATCTGGTCTATGTCACTCCACCCAGCAACAAACCACTCTCACCTGCTATTAAATTTGCAGAGCTCCCTCCTCTCCCTACTTCTTCATTCACGTTTCCCAACCTTCTTACCAGCACTAAGGTCCCCTCCACTACGTCCAACTTCCCCATGCAACAACATGCTCTTAGGGGGCATCTTCGTATTAAAGGCCGTCTGAATGTTATCCACAAACGTCTTGCAGTGAGGGCTATCCACCCAGATGCGCTCCCCGAGGGAATCTTCAATATAAACCTACAGAAAAGAAGAAACAGAGAATATAAACCATGCTCAGCTGTATTGTACAGGTTAATCACAAGTGTATTTGCGACTCTGGCAAGTTATGGTTTGTTTGTTCTCAAAATACAGCTGTGAGGTAGGAAAACAGAATCCTCATTGTGCAGACTAGAAACTGAGACCACAGGCACTCAGGTGTGCCACATAAGAGCAGGTAAACAAACGGCCCAAGTTCTGCTGGACACTGAACCTGTCTGGCATCACAGCTGCCTTATTTCAGCAAAGGCTTCACAACAGCTCTCACTTGCAACATAATGAAGTTGGCCTGTTAAGCTGTTGGTTTTAAAACGGATGAGCTTTTAAATATTCAATTGCTACGGATAATCCAGAGAGCCAGGCATCTCTGGGATGCTGTTATATCAATACACATTGCCAAGGGAATTTTTGTGAAAAGCAAAGATAAGGCAGCAAAAGGTAAAAGAGGCCACAGCATTAGTGGAGACTTTTCCTTGGTGGGAGGCTATTTTCTTCCCTCCCACCCATGCTGAATGATGGGTCACTGGACACTCTCTCCCCTCGCAGCAGAATTAACTATTCTGCTCTTACCCTGCTACAAATACACACACACGCTTCCCAGCCCTGGCTGGATTTCACCCCATCTGCCCACCACCATTTCCACAGAGCAGAAGCAGTCTCAGTTCAACCACCTTGACAAAGATCTCTGGCCAGTTCTCGTCCTCCTCGTAAGCAGCCATGAGAAGGTTGCATGCCAAGACAGACACCAGGCTATTCCCTTTGGCTTTGAAATTGATGGATGCATCTCTTCGGAGGAGGCTGCACAGGGCCTGCAAGAAAACATACAAAAAAAAAAAAAAAAAGAAATCAGACCATCTAGCAGAGCAGCATACACAAAAACACCGGAGCACAAAATTACTGCAATTTGTGCAACACAGACATCGAGACAGACACACACACAGCTTATGTTCTGGCCTGAGAGAAACTGCAACTACACTCACAGGCTGGCAAAAACCCCAGTGCCAATGAACCTGAGGGTCCTTACGTGACACGGCTCTCACCTCAATAACTCCTTCAGTGGCAAATATGTTGGGTTTGATTTTTGCCAGGTACATGAGGCTCAGGTAGAGTGTCGTATCAGGTTTGGCTCTGTTCATTTTGAGCTGCTTCACTGCTCCACACAGCACCCCCTCAATCCGGTCGTCGTTGCCTTCTGCCTCTGCTGCCTCAATTTCATCCAGTAGCACCGTGGGGACGACTACAGCAACCAACACACAGGCATTAGTTTCTACACTTGTGCAAAATAATCCTCCCAAGGATACCCGAATGAAAAACCACCTAGAAAGCAAAGCATGGATTTGCTTGCTTTTACCCACTGCAGTGGCTTCCATCCCTCACACCCAAATGCCATTAAAATCTGTTTCATACCCGACAACCCTGCTCCAGCCTTTTTCTTTTTTTTTTTTTTTTTTTTTTTTTTGGGGGGGTGGGGGGTACCTGCTAGAATAATCCTTCCACATATCCAAGAACAGAAAACAGAGAAAACAACACACCGATAACCAAGACTGCTAAAATACAAGGATATAAGTTCACAATCTAAGTTCTAAGATTTCCTCAGAAAGGTCTTTCAAACACTACCAGGTGGGGCGAGCACAAGCACCCAGTACGAACAGTGTCTTGACCCAAGGGACAGCAGGACGAGGGCCAGAGCAGCAGCAGGACGGCGAATCCCAGCACCGAGGGGAAGTGCCCGGGGAGGCCGCGCTCGTGCCTGCTACGAG